GAGAAGCTGTGGCTGCCCCATCCCTGGAGGGGTTCAAGGCCAGGCTGGATGGGGCTTGGAGCAACCTGGTCTGGTGGGAGGTGTCCCTGGATGATCTTTAAGGTCCCTTCCAACCCTGAACCATTCTATGATTCCAAGATTTCTCTTCTCACCTTGCTGCTACCTGCTCATTTAAAGCTGGAAAGGAGAGAAACAGCCTGTTACCCCCACCTTCCCTGAGGGTGAGGATGCAGTGCTGCCCTACAGGGCCAGGCTGGGTTACAAACACACACCAGACCCTGACAAGCTGTGGGCAAACCTTTACCAGCAGGAACCCTTAGGTGTAAAACTGCCGACAGTGTCTGCCATGAGTTCAACTGAGGCTCTTGGACCTAAAAGCTCTTTTGGACCTGATTTCCAGAGGTGGATTCAAACCCTGCAGCTACTGAGACACATGCTGAGGGAGGGAGCCAGATGCCACCCGCTGTCACCGGGCTCCTCAGGAGCTCTGCAAGGGGAGAAGCATCTACCCCCAGCCAGCCCCATGCCACAGCCAGCCCCGGCTCTCCTCTGCGGGGTCGGGACCCATGGACCCCCTGTGCCTGCTCAGACCTCCTCCATCTCCAGCGGTGCCCCCAAAGCGTGACCCAGGCCACGTTTGCCATTTTTTTCCCCAGCCAGCCGGACAAAAGCCACGGAGGATGTAATGTGTTTTACAGATTTGCCCCACGCAATTAGCAACAGGCCCTCGGCGGAGGGGCTGCATTGTCACACTCAGCTGGAGCCAGCTAAGCTGATTTGTTCGGCCTCGCCAAACCCCCCCCTTTCACAGGCCAGTGGCTACGGTCAAAGGACAGACTGACACGGCCCCATCTTGGGCCCCAGCTGCCAAAAGGTCCACCCCCCTCCATCCACCTGGCCCTACCAGGGAGGTGGGCAGGCTTGAGGAGCGCCTGTCTCCCTGGGGCTCCCTGTTGGGCAAGTACTGGAGTGTGTCCAGAGGAGAGTCACCAAGCTGGTGAGGGGTCTAGAGAAGTAGTCCTAGGAGGAGAGGCTGAGGGAACTGGGCATGTTTAGTTTGGAGAAGAGGAGGCTGAGGGGAGACCTCATTGCCCTCTACAACTCCCTGAAAGGAGGGTGTAGAGAGGTGGGTGTTGGCCTCTTCTCCCAAGGGAATAATGACAGGACCAGAGGAAATGGTCTGAAGTTGGGGCAGGAGAGGTTTAGATTAGATGTTTGGAAGAATGACTTTCCTGAGAGGATGGTCAGGCCCTGGAACAGCCTGCCCAGGGAGGTGGTGGAGTCACCATCCCTGGAGGTATTTAAGAAAAGTGTATACATGGCACTTCAGGGCATGGTCCATGCCCAAGATTGATGGTTTGTGTCTGTTTATGGAGTTGTGTGTTGTTGGGTTTTGGTGGGGTTTTTTTTGTGGTTGGACTTGGTGATCTCAAAGGTCCTTTCCAACCACAAAGATTCTGTGATTCTGTGACAACCAGGTCCATGCTGGAGGATTTTCTGGTCTCTCTCATTCTCCTGTCCTGGGCTGGAGGTCTCCTGGCCCAGTCTGGGTTGCCAAGTGGCCAAAACATTTGTGCCAGCACCACAGGCCAGTATTTGCCAACTACGTGACGTACAGACCCATCGCTGGGCCAAGAAAAAGCCCTGGTGCCCTCTGGAAAGCCATCAGCAGGGGCACAAAAGGAACATAAACTCAGCAAACACAGGATGTTCCGTACCACAGTGGCTAAAAGCTCGCTAAGAGAGAGGTTGTATTAACAACAAAAAAACAAAAAAAATGGAAAAAAAAAAAAGGAGGGGGGGGTGGGATTGGAGGAAAGAAAAAGCTCTCCTCTTCCCGCCAAAAATTATGCGGCAGCAGGTCCACAGAGTGTCTGCCAGATGACCCGCTTGTCACACTCCTAATTGCTTCCCATCTGGTGTCTGGAGCACACAAAGCCTGGCCGTTTGCCAGCGCAAGGGGGGACGACGGCACAAAACTGGCCTATTTCTGGTGACACGGGGCCCTCCAGACACCCCTGCCCCAGCTCCTTCCCTCCCGTATGGCTGAGGAGAACCTGGCATTCATTTGTAAATTTGCCGGCGGCTGATTTACCCGGCTCTTCGGGCCCCTCCACCAGCTCAACCCCCCCAGCTAACAGCCAGGCAGCCCGAGCCCCACTGCTGGGGGCAAGTCCTCCCTGGCACCCAGTGGCCACAAACCTGGGCAAACGTGGCCGCTGTCCCCTCATGAGCACATCGGGCCAACTCATCCCCGTCCACACATGCAGACGCCTCCTGAACTGCCCTGATTTACAAAGCTGGTTGCTTTTCCAAACCGTGTCTTTCCACCCGAGGTACGTCCCTCCCTCCTCCCTTTTATACAGTTCCTACAAACACTCTCGAGGCGCTTTATCACAGAATCACAGAATCTTGGTGGTTGGAAGGGACCTCTGAGATCATCGAGTCCAAGCACATCGTTATATCATGATCTTGCAATGAGTAGTTTTCCCTGGGTTTTCTTTGTCTTTTTGATTTGTCTCAGCCTGGAGAAAAGGAGGCTGAGGGGAGACCTTCTCGCTCTCTCCAACTCCCTGAAAGGAGGGGGTAGCCAGGGGGGGTCGGTCTTTTCTACCAAGGAACGGGTGATAGAAAAAGAGGAAATGGCCTCAAGTTGCACCAGGGGAGGGTCAGATTGGAGATTAGGAACAATTTCTTCACGGAAAGTGCTATTAAGCATTGGAATGGGCTGCCCAGGGAAGTGTTTGAGGCACCATCCCTGGAGGTGTTTAAATGATGAGTTGACACAGTGCTTAGAGACATGGTTTAGTGATGGCTTCTATCAGTGTCAGGTTGATGGTTGGACTAGACGATCTTAAAGGTCCCTTCCAAGCTAGACAATTCTATGATTCTATTTGTTCTGTTAATGTTTTGGGTGTTTTTTTTAAATTATTTTGTATTTAACGCCTACATTGTGAGCAGCTGATACCCTCAGAAAACCGAGCAAAGACTTCTCAGCCTGTGGGAGAGACCACTTCAGCACACACCCCCGTGTCTAAAGCCCTGTCGGTTGCACAACCAGCAAATACCACTTTTACCAGGAGTGACTAAGATCAAGCCACTGGCCAACAGTGAGTGAGACATGAAATGCTGAGTCAGCAGAATTCTCCCTCCCCCAAAAGACAAAAGCAGCCTTTCCCCACAGACTGTGACATGGGACGGTCGCAGACGTACGTCACTGCCAGCCAACACACGGCCCCTTCCCCACTCGCTTGTGCTGAGGGTGTTGGCATCCAAATTCTCTGTAATCAGGGGGTGTGACAACACGAGAAATCAGGAGATGGGTAAATAACCCAGAGGGATCTCCAAAAATGAAACGATATAGAAAAACCCCAAATTTCTATAAAAGGTAGTAGCAGAATTCCCTTTGCAACAGCCACTGTATTGCCAGGGTCATGCAGACGAAGAGCAGGCACTCTCAGAGGACTCCTGTCAGTTCTGCACCTCATAAAAGACACAGACAGCAATGAAGGGGGAGAGAAAATGAAATTAAAAAAGAAAACCGAACCACCAACACAAGCTGACACCGAAGAGTGTCACGTCGCACACCTGTCACTCCAGATGCCACCAGAGGCCACGCTACTGAGGTTTCTTCATAATCGTGAAGGTGGAATACAGTGGGTAGGACCATCTGGATTTTTACTTTATACACAAATGTAAGATGATGTACAAATATCCAACACTCACCTGTTCTTCCAACGCATCGTGCTGTCAGAACTCCAGGGATCCCATCGTTCCCTCCAGCTGTAGGACAAGGCTCCAGCCCAGGAGTCAGCTCTCTCCAGGGGAACCCACACAGCCCAGGAGCTTCCAGAGGGACCAACCTTTTGGCTCAGCTGGCACAGGAACAGAAACCCACAGCTTCCTTGTGAAAGCAAGTATTTAAACCTGCAAAGTTTCAGCTTATCCAAGGTCAAGGAAACTTATAAAAAAAATAAAAATCAATTAAATGAGGTCTAGCACTAGAAGTTTCTAAACCTTTAGCTGGACACTTGTCACAAAAGCAAATGCAAGAATCAATTTCAGCTTCAGAGGTTTTGTTGTTTGGGTTGTGTTGGACCTTGGTCACAGGTACGGGACAGCCGTGCTCCATTAATATCCAGCGTTAAAAACCTTATTTCATGAAGCTCGATTCGCTCACAACACTGCACCCGTTCTAGCTTCGTGCCAATGGAGTTATTCTCATGTAAAACCAGAATAATAGCGGTAGGAACTGGGCTTTTCTCACCAATCAATTCCTTAAAGACCATTTTCTTCCAGATAAAAGCCAGGCCCACGAATAAAAGCTTCCAGAACCCTCATATAATCCAACTGAGGGTTGCAGTTCCTTCCAAGCTCTGCTTACGGGCTGTCCAGCTGCTCCCACCAAAACCAGCTTTCACTGGGCAAGGCTGACATGGTCCCCCTTGACCTTTTCCTTCAAAATCTTAATTTTTGGCCCTTTCTATTTTGTCGCAAAAGCCAGGAAAGACAATAGATATCGAATGCCCATGTTTCTAGCCAAGTAAGAGTCAAAGTCTAACACTAATTCAGATTAATACACATTTTTGAGTACTAATTAGGAAAAAACAATATATCTATCAGATTGCACAGCTTACACTTGTCTTTACCCCCCCAGGCACACACACTAAAATATCGCTTCTACCACACAAATGAATGTCAAAGAGCTTTAAGCTGGCAACTTTCTTCATCCTTCAAATTGTCTTGCCTACATAAATATTAGCGTTAAAGCTCTGAGAGACAAATAGAAGCTGGTAACCAAGTACAAGCTGGCTTACACGTAGTTTGGGTTGAAGCAGGTATTGTTGAGGGGCTCCATCCTGCTGCATCACCCACCGATTCCTCATCTCTGCTGGTTGTCTCTGCCCAGACCAGAAAAGGTGGGTTTCTTGGACTTTGACATGTTGATTTAATGAGCACCAAGTGTTTAAGTTCTCAAATAAAAGGCACTTACAGTCACCTGGTACATAGATGCTTTATTTCTGTCATTAATATGGTCTGTATTGTATGTGAGATTCTCTTACATAAAAGAAAAGTTTGTAGTACAACAAAAACTAAGATAAACAAGGCGTTTGTTGCACGTTATGTCAAACCTTAAAACGAAAATACGGAGTAATATGTATTTAGGTGTCATGCAAGTTTGGCTGCTGCATGTACAATCTACTTATATCAACTGAAAGAAATGCAAATGCACACAACATTCAAAAGGTAATAAAAGATGCCTGACATATGAAAGATTAAAACCTTCCTGCTAAAGCAACAAAGTAGGAGTTAACTAAACGATCCAACCAATACCAACACAAAGTAATACTACTTACCATAACCCTATGCTTAAACTTGGTATAGGCAGTTGTGGTGATACCACTTCTACAGAAATATATCACCCAGGTTCTAGATATTCATTCTCTCTCAGTGTCTTATTTCATTTCTTTTTTTGTGTGTGTGTGTGAATTAAATGCTGTCTCCAGCGTTAGACTTCACTGTTAAATACATTCTGGTGACACACCCCTAAATCTAGTGCTGCCAAGAATTCCAATTGCCTCCTTTCCTGGAGTCATCCTGGCATGATGGGTATTTTCTTAGATGGGATTTCCCCCCTCCCCGTGCTTAAAATTTTGATGTGAATTAAAAACTGCTAAAAATGTTTATGCCTCCCGCTATCACAGCCAGGCCAATATTTAATATCAAAAAGCTCTTAAAAATAAGGATTGGTGTAAGCTTTGAGATGTTTAAAAAAGTGTAATAACCCATGACCTTCCTTGTGCCGCTCATCACCTGTTAAAATTCTCCCTTTAATAAATTAGTCTCTCCCATCTTTTGTTATTGAAGTGACCGGAATACTTTCCACACCCTGCATAGTACTGGTTGATCTCCTAAAGTTAACTAGAGAACCTGACATCATTTTTTATTTTATGTTTGTTTGTTTTTTTTTTTCTTTTTGTCATTTTACATACAGTGCATACGATGCTCGCTCTTTCCGTCTCTCCTAGCAGCAAGCCGATCCTGCCACTCTCTGTAGCAGCACACCCGGGAGTGGAGAGGAAGAGTGTTTGAATTTTATAAATAACTAAAACTACAGTGTACACTTCTATTTACCTGTCAGTATTTGCTTATACCCATCGTAACTTGCTCGAAATTAACTACAAAGAAAAAACAACTCTACAACGAAAGCAAACCGAAACATTCCTTCAAAGAAAAACTTAAAAAAAAAAATAAAAGACATAAAATAAGTGCAAATACCTAAAATAGGCAACTAATGCAACTGTTGTGACCTGTATACCTTTAAATAAGGACAAAGATTTTTCATAAATAAAAGAATGTTCTCTTTGCTCTTCAAACATTCAGTAAGTATAATAATGGTCAAACTTAAGTGCAGATACAATTGTTTTGAGATCCAAGGTGCCAAGTTTCTTTTTTTTCTTTTAAAAATAAAATAAAATAAAATAAAATAAGTAAAATATTTAAAATGCATTAGTTTTAGTTCCTGTGCAGGACGAAGTACTCCTGGGTCATGTATAGGACCCTCCCATTCCTTTCTAAATATATTTAAACAAGGTACAGGAACGGTTGCTGTATAATACAGATATACCTTGTCATTATTTTGTAGACCAACATGATTTAAGGGTTATAGTGCAATCTTTACGTAGATGTAACATACAGTATAGACTTGTACACTTCACCACTGTAATTCTTCTGCTATTCCATACTTTAAACTTGTCCTTTTTTTTTCATTTTAGCTGTTTTAACAGGAAACAACATTGGCTTCTAGACAACCTGCATACATATAAATATCTACATTTAAGCTTTAAAATGAAAATAAATTATAAAAACAGACTCCTTTTGAATTTACAAAATTTTTCCCTGTTCCTACATACTGTACAATACATTCAACAATCATCTCATTTTGAGATTTATGAAGAAAATACTGATGCTTTACACTAACACCTAATCCAACCCCTCTGCCTACTTCTAGTACCATTTGCAAATAAATATATTTAACACTGTAGTTAATTCCATTGTTTTGCAGCATACCAAAAAAATTAGTAGTGCAACTTTCTATCCTTCCTTTATACTCCTTTCCATTGTGTTTCTGTATATACTAGAAAAATGCTACATAAGCAAAAGCACATTCAGTCACGTATGTTGCTCATTTGGAAACCAGTAACAACCTATAAACCTACTCTAGAGTGAAAATGCACTAACAGAAAAAAAGCAATGCAAGTCAAAAAGAATAAATATGAAAAATAGACCTTAAAAACCGTATGTCGTCAGTACTGCAATGTATTTCACCATTCTTTATAGGATTTTAGGGTGTTACTTTTTTAACATATAAGAAATTCATTGCAGAACTGGTTGTACTATCCCCCCATAGAGAATATGAGAGCTTTGTGTCTGTTCTTTGTCAGTCAAAAGAAGAAAGGAAGCTTTAAGGTGGCTTTAAGGTTTCCCTTGGCAGAGTGTCTGGAGTAAAGACTTAATTGATGAGGATTGTGCTGGAATCGCCTTGGACACGGTGTCAGTTCCAATGGAAAGAGATGGTTGTCAGACGCGGTGACCGTCACAGGATGAGAGCCCTGGAAGTGCTGGTGGTGGTGGCCGTGTACGTGCTCAGATACCTTCTGGCTTGTTCAGTCATGATAAGCTGGTCTTCTGTTTTGCCATAAACAACTGCTTCCCACTCACAATTGGACTGCGCAAAATAAAATTCAGTTAAAAAGGTTCTTTTAACTAAGGGAAATACTCGAGCGATTCTTGTACGACTTTTCAGCATAATAATAAATTATTAAAGTCTAGTAAAATTGTATTTTACTGAGAAGGATTCAGTTCTACAACACGATACCTAAAATCTGTGACAAAGCTCCCTCTCCAGCCTCTAACCCAGCTCTCCCCAAAGGCGCATCTCTGTTACGCCTTAAGTTCTAACACACAAAATGAAAAACACTCTTAAAAAGAGACTGGTTCAACAATTGATACATCAAAGGGAAGTTGATTAAGTCATCTTCTCTTTGGATACCTTCCCCTTCAAATGTGCTAAGTTCAACCAGCAGAAAAATACATTATTAGCAGCTGTCTGGAGACACCAAGGAAGGCAAAATGGTTTGGCAGCCGAAAAAGAATGCTGTGAAGCACTTCACTGAACCAAAGTGACAGCTGTGGAAGAGCCATCAGATGTTTTGGGAATCTATTAGAAATGGCAAAGGAGTTAGGAATAAAAATAATGGACAGAAGGAAAAATTGAGCCACCAGTCCTGCTTCCTCCGTGAAGCAAACTCTGCGTGTTTACATAATTTATCGAATCTCAAGCTGATACACAGCAGCTTTAAATTGGAGCTGACACCAGCAGGTTGTTGCCTAATGAAGAATGCAAGATTTTCTGCCCCCTACATCAAGCTGGAAACTGATCCAAAGGAGCAGTCCCACATATGGGTGCACAGACAAAATGAGCCATTTGAGTTTCTCTATAAATTTAGCAGGATTTGATTCTCAGAAGGGATTTGTGGTTAGAGGGGATTTCTCAGGGGAAAGAGCAAAAAGAGAAAGATGGTTCAATGAGAATATTTGTGAATATTGTGTGACTAAGTCTTCTTAAGAGCATAATTCTGGGCCAGATAGAGGTATTCCCCTTTGCTGCAATTCACAGCAGTTAATCCTTTTTTTTTTTTAATTCACTATCACAGTTAAATGAGGTTTATTCTCTCTTCTAATAAGAAAGGATCAGAAAGTACTGCTGTTGTCTACATACTTAAAAAAACATAATCGCCAAAGCAATTAAATGGGACATGGAAGATCAGGCCCCAGGTGTCCTGCCTTTTTTTTCTTTAATTATTTTTTTGTTAATTAATACAGAGCAGTGGGTACACTGAGAAGACACAAAAACTTTCAACATTAGCTCTCCATGGGGCAAACTGGAACAGGTACTAAGTCAGGTCAAAGAGAATCTCTCCCTAAACCTGGTGGTCAGGGGACACAGAGCAAAAAACAGGTTCCACAGTTTTAAAGGTATGGAAAATATACAGATTTTGTACACGAACAACTACCAAAAAGAACCTGTGGATGAACTCTGCTTAATTAATCTCACTGGGCTTATTATGAAGTACCAGCCAAATCTGAGAAACTTAGGTGCTATAGACGTTTAGTTTGCAACAAGTCTAGTTTTCTTGCTTCTAGATTTGGGTACCCAAACCTGGTTTTTAGGTCTGCCCTGCCCTGATTTTTTTTCCCCCCACAATTTAATTTTAGAGGCCAGTCAGTGACACATCAGGGTTGTACTTAAGGAACTCTGCTATGAATAAACATTTGGTGGACAAATGACCAACTTACAAGAAATAAGGATTATGGAAACACTGACTGAAACTAGATCACTGAATTGAACGATTCTAGACATTAGTACAAGACAGAAACCAAAAACTGCTGACAAAACTAACAAAATTCTTTGCATCCAGACCTGAAGAGCTTTCTCCAGTTTGACATTTTTGGAAGCGCATGCATTCGGTTTCTTCTTAATTACTGTATTTGCTTTGTTTGCTGGATTTGTATCCTGGTTTTCTGATGTCAGGTTACATCTGTTGTCATGTATTTCCAACAATGGTATCATCAATAAAGATGTGGTATATGCATTTTCTGACTATTGACAAAAAAGAATAATAATTAGTATTCAATAACAACAAAAAAAATGGTCTTCAACTGCTGTGATCAGAAAAGCTGAAATGTAAACAAAGAAAATACTATCAGAAAGACCTGAGGAAAGAATCTGAAAAGAAAAGGTAATGAACAGTATACGAAGAACCAGCCTGGTCTATATGGGGATTCATAGTCAATACCGAGCTCAGTGGGGGCCTGCAGGAGAGATGGGGAGGGACTCTTGATCAGGGAGGGGAGCCATAGGACAAGGGGGAATGGTTTTAAACTGAAAGAGTGGAGATTTAGATGAGATCTTAGGAAGAAATTCTTTTCTGTGAGGGTGGTGAGACCCTGGAAGAGGTTGCCCAGAGAAGCTGTGGCTGCCCCATCCCTGGAGGGGTTCAAGGCCAGGCTGGATGGGGCTTGGAGCAACCTGGTCTGGTGGGAGGTGTCCCTGCCCAGGGCAGGGGGTTGGAACTGGATGGTCTTTAAGGTCCCTTCCAACCCAAACCATTTTATGATTCTAAAACAAGTCTCTGCTTGCATGATTCGAGCATTACTGAGTAGATGGTTTCTTTCACAAAAAGCCATGCTGCAATCGATTACGTTTTGTTAAGAACAAGTCTTGATAAAGTGGTAACTACAGAACAGTTTTAAAGAAAAAAAAAAGCTTGAAATTCACTTCTAGTACAGCCCTTGTGAAAGTGAGCACGAGGAGGCTGGAATAAAAAAATTAAGATCGCACCAGTGCTAGGGGAAGAACTGCTTTAAGAACTGAAATAAGCACTGATCGTTCCAGAAGAGTTTTATATTCTGACAACGTTTATGGAAATAAAAAGAAATTAATCCAGCTTCAGTACAGCAAAGCAGAAGAAAGGTATATGGCAATTTTAGAGAGGAAATTAGAAGCGAGTAATAGTTGCATATGTACTTGCTTGCTTAGAAAAACACCCCATTGAACAGCATTGAACTACCTTTACACATTTGTTCTACCTCGGACCTTACTCCTGACTTGGACACACAATTTCTACTTAAGGACTGTTACATTTTAAAATCAGATACTACCACTACCTCTCTTGCTACAAGCCAACGTTCCTATTACACCAGCATCCCTCATTAAAATGGAGGAAAAGCCTATTTTTCCCAGTCCACTGTCCACAACATCAGTTTGGTTTAGCTTGATAGCACAAGCGTCAGCGATGCACAACGTAGCGAGCCCTAACAAGACATGGCAAAGGAAACACCGGGGCATTTTGTGGCTGTTTTGAAGGGTTGCAGCAATTCTGCTCCTCACAAGAAAAGTCATGTTCTTGGGGAAGTGGGGACTTCCCACTAGGTGGCAGAACATCTAACACCCTTCTGCAGACACCACCACTGGTCACAGAGGCTACCAGGGGTTGCAGAAGGTACTTTAACAAACCAGCTACAATAGCAGAAAGGGACATCACTTAAGCAACCTGTTATTTTCACTGAATTTCACTGAATTTTCACTGAATTTTAGAGTTGGAAGGGACCATAGAGATCATCTAATCCAACTCCCCTGCTAAAGCAGGACCACCCAGAGCTTGTCAGAGCATGTTACTCAGGACTGCATCCAGGCGGGTCTTGAAAATCTCCAAGGAAGGGGACTCCACACCCTCCCTGGGCAGCCTGTTCCAGGGCTCCGTCACCCTCACCGTGAAGAAGTTTCTCCTCATATTTGAGTGGAACCTCTTCTGTTCCAACTTGTGCCCGTTGCCCCTCGTCCTGTCACTGGGAACCACTGAAAAGAGTCTGGCTCCCTCCTCCTTCAACCCGCCCTTGAGATACTTGTAAGCATTGATAAGGTCTCCCCTCAGCCTTCTCTTCTCCAGACTAAAGAGTCCCAGCTCTCTCAGTCTCTCCTCATAAGGGACTCATTTTAAGGGACTTTGGCTCATTTAAGGACTCCTCATTTTAAGGGACTTTGGCTCCTTCCTCTTGAATATAGCTTTATACCTGAGATGAAGAGTCGCAGACATTTGCTCTTTCAGAATTAAACACATAGGTACATTAATTTAAGAACTAGATTAGAATAAAGTTTTCCTACAAACTGCAGGACTAAAGATTAATCTATACATTCACTCAACTGGAAAAATCTTGAGCTACTTTTTAAAGGAATGAGGGACCCAAACAGCCTCATCTCAGAACTCTTGAGGTCTTGGCTGTTGAGGCAGAAGTATTCAAATTCCTTCAGGCAGAGGAAGCCCACAAACCTCATCTTCTACATGCTTGGTATTTCTTAAGGTATTCCCCTATTCTGTGAAGCAGGAAAAGGAAAAGCACACTGCCTGATTTGCAATTAGGTATCTTCAGCAGATGTCTGCCAGACCGTCAAGCATGCAAAACAGAGGGGCAAATGCCATCTTCCTGGTATATTACAGAGAGCTTCAGTGTGTCATCTGTCTTAGAATCATAGAATGGGTTGGGTTGGAAGGGACCTTAAAGATTATCTAGCTCCAAATCCCCTGCCATGTTATGGTTTATAGGTTACCAGCCTGGAAGCAGTTTTGCTGAAAGAGCAAATCTGCACAGCATACACATGGCATGAATTCATGCATGAATTCAAGCCAAACGTTCAAGTATTGCTTCAGTGCTTGAAGTAATATTTCAAACTGAAGATGATTTTCGCTTTCTAGATGTATGAATCCAGCCTCAATCCATACAGTTTATTTTAGTTGGTAGAATGAAAGATACTGAGCTCTATATTAATATTGGTGTTCAGTATTTTAACACTCACCTGTGCATCCAAACTATTCTCTTCTGTGAAGCGCTGGGCACCAACCTCTTCTTTTTCCCATGGATCTAGGACCAGCGATTTTCTGACTTTTTTAGAAGAGTTGTGCTGCAATAAACATTTTTCAGGGAAAAATTGTAAAATATTTTTTTAAAGCAGTTATTTCCTATTTAAAATTATTATTGCAATGTTACCTCCTGCTTGCAGCCTTTATACACAGTATCGTCTTCCTCCTTGAGAAATATATCTGTTCCAGTTTCCTCTTTCAAAACTTCCCTAATGTCTTCCTCCAAGAAGGCAAGTGGTTGTGACTAAGTTAATTAAAATCGGAGGAGAAAATACAGGAAGTCTATTAGTTGCTAGTTTTTACCACATTCTACTTTCAGCTAAAGTAGTCCAGAAAAGAAATCTTGCAAAATACAGCAATAGCTAAAAGGATTTAAGCTGTTGTAATTAACAGCTACAGAAGATTTCAAAGCTATGCAGATTTTTAAATTCATTTTACTCTTCATTATTTTAGCCACATAAAACATATATACACACACAATGCCTCAAAAAATGCAAGGTAGTATTGAAGAAGACATGCAAACTACTTGTTTGCATTTATTAGCAATGGTTATTCACTGACAAAAGAAATAAAAACACTTTATATATACTAAACATATACATAGATACCTATATGTATATATAGGTGCATAAAACATACTAAAAAACTGCACTAGAAAAGTATGACTGCTGTTGGGAAAGGAATTTATATCAATCTTAACACAAATCTTTGAATAAGACATTGATAGTCCCAAGTACAGTACAGAATTTCACAGAAGCCATACAGATGGCTCCTTTGTGTACCAAGAGGAGAAGAATTCCCTTAAGCCCCCAAAATTTGATTTTGAACAGGAGGTTAATAGTGGACAGAAACAGGAATGCCAAACCACTCCATTTGCATAGTGAGAGACTGTGAATCTATAGGGTAACACAGATGGTGCCAAGCCCCGTGGCAAAGTCTGAGCTACCTTCTGTGTTTGCAGAAAAGAAGTAGTCAATATATATTGGCTGGAATTTTTTCAGAACTTGAAAAAGCATATGTCTACTGAATTCCAAAAGTTATTATGCATTAACATACCTTAGCTAGGCTAGGAAGAGAGGAAAAATTGAATTCATTTGGAACCAACAAACAAATAAATAAAAAGTAACATTATCTACAGTCAACAAAAAGAAGAGTCTTCTGTGACAGCCAGATGAATCAGAGGAATCATGAATTGCTACATTAAGACTTTGGGGTTTAGGATGAAGAAAATTGTAGACGTCACTCAAGTAAGCCCCTAGGAAGGAAAAATCCTTTCCAAACCTCTTCCCATCAAAAAAATTCTCAGAATCCTAGCATGCTGTGGTAAACATCTGGTTTCAGTCCTAGCACTGCAGAGGAACCAAAACCAGAAAACAACTCAGCTCGTACATAGTCCAGAGGATTCAAAGATAATGCAGCTTTTCAAGTGAAAGTTGCTTAAAATAAATAACACCGTCAGTCACATTCATCTGCACCAGTTTGCTCTTTCTAGATTATCCAGTTGGAGGACCCACACCCATTCACTATCTCACTTAGAAATTTCCTTCTGAAAAAAAGAAAACGCTATAGCATTGAAATCAAAATCTCAGCCAATGATGTTACCACCTCCTAAGAGGCACAGTGTTAGCAAGGCTACACAAATTTAAAACAACTCAAAAAAGCGGGACCAATTTAAGATTACTACAGATCATAGGATGATATGTACCAAATACCACTCAAAAAGACAACCTTTCCATACTGCACTGAAGGATATGAGTCACTGAAACAGCACTGTCAGAAAGTGCTTTCTAAGATCATGCTGAAGCTTGCAATGTCTCAAAATCAAGAGGACTTTTAGGCGTTAACAAAGAAGAAAATAAGCAATGTCACCACATACCGTAAGTTTGAGGGGACCATATTTTTTTTCCTGAGCAGCCAAAGCATTTTTAAAAGGAGTTGGAGTCCTCGGTGTTGAACCCAAAAGAGATCTTCGAATTGTGGGAGTTCTAAAACTATTCAAGCATAGAAAAGTGCTCATACATGCATTTTAATATTTTACTTTATCAACAGTTATGTAACGTAATGAATCTAAGAAACATCTTAAAATACCTTCATTTACACAACAGACATCACCACCATGAATCTGAAATACTAAGATCACCACAGCATTATCCCAGGTATATTAAACTTTAATTGGATTTTGTTTGGTATTTTTAGAAAAGGAAAAAGTTTAACTGAGTACAAGTCACTTTCTGCTAAGTTAAAATCAGGAAGCCAGTTTGTTTGTACACAAGTATTTAAG